TAGAGTTTGATTTCGATTAGCAATTGTAAGGTTGTGTGTGGCTGTTAAATTAACTTACATAATGAAAAATGTTTATGGTATAAGCACGGCAATAGAATCATTACGTAAATATTTATAAAATGATTATTTTTTGGTCCAACACTTTGGTCCAGACTGGCTGGATTCAGATTATTAAAATGACATTTATGGTCCCAAGAGGTTGATGATACTATGATTTTTCATAAAGCACCACTATGAGGCTGACCGTGGTGCGTTTGTGTAAAATGTTTTAAATTCTACTGCACTTCATACCCTACCAAAGGAACTTCGGTAATCCCTTAACATTTTATGCAGCCCCATCATCAAAATACTGCAATTTCATATATTAAATACAAAGAAATAGGACCACTTGTGAAGTGTTGCTATTTTCTGAATTGTTCAAGTACAGATCTTTATTGTTTTGCAGTCCTTCGACATCTGTGGACGTGTGTCCGCCATACGCAAGGCCTTCGTCATGCTCTGCAGCTCCCAGGTCAGATTTAGATAAATTGTACACCCTTCACATCAATAAACACACAAACACATATACTCAAAGCTGTGTTTTTGCATATAGAATTCAGAATATATCTGGAAGAGTTTAATTCCTTTTTTAATTGTCACTCTTTTTTGTGTCTGATCCAGAATTATGGCGTGAGGGCGGGCAGTCAGCAGTGCAGCGAGGCGGGGGATGTCTGTGCGATTTGTCAGGCAGATTTCAGAGACCCCATAGCCCTTCTCTGTCAGGTAAGACCTCAGTATCTTAGTTAAAGGCTGCTGAGCCTCTGACAACAGCCAGCACTACTGATGGGTCACTGTCACTGCCGATAGGTCAGAAGTGAATCCAGTCCAAGAAAACAACAATTGCATGCTAGTGCTACTATAATTTGATCATAACTGTGATCTTGAAAGGGAGGTCAAAGGTCAGTATCAGCTACTAGTTAGTGCTCTTGCTAAAAAATAAGCTCCTAAATTGTATGTGTCATTCATACTTTACAATAATATCTAAAAAAACAACAGTCAAAGATGTAGAGGATTTGAACAAGAGATTTTAGAGATAAATGTTGGTTTCTTCTTCTCTGGAACAAAAATGTAACCTGTGCGTGTGCATTATGTCATCCACCCCCCCCAGCACGTGTTCTGTGAGGAGTGCCTCTGCTTGTGGTTTGACCGGGAGAGAACATGTCCGCTGTGTCGCTCCACCGTCATTGAGACCCTGCGCTGCTGGAAGGACGGCACGACTTCGGCTCACTTCCAGATCTACTGAGCTCTGACACGCAAACAGATATGATGGTGCTGAGATGCAAGTTAGACAATGCCGGGTCATCTTTTATCTTATTATCTTAGTGCTGTAACTCCTCAAGTCAGGGCAGGCCTAACTGCATTAACACACCATATAGGGAAGATTAGTTTTGAAGCCATTTTAAAAGACCCAAACAGATGTTGAACACAATAATTTCAGTGAAGGCAGATTGAGCATCTAATTAAGCTGGAGTTGGAAGCCACATGCACAAACAAAATCCTCAACATCACTTAAAAGAAACGCAAAGCTAGGACAATTGTTAGTTTCACCATTGGTCCATTGTTAAATCACAATGGACACAGGCTTAGAAACTTTTGTTTACTGTGATCATCAAATGTCACTAAAAACATGATTGTAACGAGAATATTAATTAGATTTAGTGTGGTGATAATGTAAATGGTCACAGTATTCATGCTGTATTTGTTGTAAATGTACCACTTTTTTATACTTTATGATTTTGTCATATATACATACTGTCTTTACTACTCTTTTTTTTAATTATACAATAACTATTTAACGTAATTTGATTTGGTTTATAGCTTGCAATAGTTTAAATGGAAAACATTCAATGTTTTACTTTGAAGAAGAAAAAAAAGAATGATTGTGAAAATCAGTTTGAGCGTTTGTCCTGTAGGTAAAAACAGGCTCTTGGTAAGCAAATGATAAGGTGATTCAGACTTTCATTATGTAAGGTGGTGTGTGGCTGTTTGATAACCAGACTTTACATAGTGTAATTGTTTATGGTGAAGCACGACAACACAATCATAACATGTTGTTATAATATTAATTATTAATATTTGACTTACTTATATAATTTCATTTGCGTTGAGATTGGGAACTCATGTCTGATAATCTTTGCCAAATCTTCGCAAACTTTCATTTTTCATCTTTTTGAATATTTTTATTTTGAATCATTACATTTAGAACAATTCATCCTTGGGTTGCATTGTATACCACATGACTTTAATGCTAAATGCATTGCAGGTTTTTCAGTTTTAAATTAAAGCACTTTAGCTTACTTTGTCAAGTGTATTTCTTGTTTTTTTGTATTGACACCTGCAGACAATTTATTTCAGAAACATTTTATTATCAATTATTAAAAATCCATATGAAATATTTAATTTGTATAAATAACACACACTTATAAAAGACAGTTCCAGAAATGCTGCTCACATTACACTTGATATATCAGAGAAAGCTTATTTCCAGTAATCACAGACAGCATTAACAGCATAGCTTCCTATGAACAGGTCCTGTATCTTTAAGACAAAAAGCCACTTAACACTGCCCCCAACTGATAATTATAATAAAGCACAGAAGAATGTTTAAACATCATCTAAACACTGTAGAAAACATCTATAAAAACATTCATCCTCTCAGTATTTACATGTTTACACTTAGCTTATTTAAATAAATAAAACAGTACAGTGTATTATCAGGCTCAGTGCACTTGTTTAGGATTGCAGCCTTAACTTAGCTTAACATACATTTGAATGTTGAATCAGTCTAACCTCTGTCATTGTGCACTCACATCGTGGTGGGTGCTGGAAGTCAAATGAGTTGTATTCGTAAGATTTTCCCTGCACACCACCAGGGGAGCATTACATCACCGTTTTGTAACTGGGATGACAGAGTCGGAGAGGCACATGGGGGCAGGACGGGCATGCTGAGGGTTCAGTGTGTCACTGTCAGCTCGTTATAAAACTGCCAGTGTGTCCACATCTGGCCTAAGGAAGTCTTCATGACACATTGAGTTTATTCAGTCTTAAAGTTCCGACCCTGAAACACGCTTTTAAATCCGCTGCTTCCTCTTCCTTTGTGGGTCATATTCGCTGCACACCTCCATTCATGACCGCCTCCTCAGACTCCTGCATCCTTGCTTTCAGTGCAAATGATGTTAGCCGTTCCTCGTATGGTCCTACTGCTAAAGGCACCATCTACATAAGATATTAGAAATACAAGTAATTAGCACAACATATCCATACATTAACTGTTATTATTAATTAACACAGCCGTTTATAACGATGTAAACGATTGCATTTGTTTAAAATTCCTATTTAGACTTTTTTCCTCGTTTAAATCCTTTAGGAACATGCTATACATTTTCCTGACAGAAACATGGGCACCTTGTAATAGACATTTTAGCACACAAAGACCAACCAAATGAACTGCAGATAAAAAAAACCCCGATAAGATTGCCAAATTAATCATAAATCATGCGACTTAAATTACATTCAAAACTTAGTTTGCATGCGCTTTTTGTGGATAATTACTGCTAACCAACGCACCCCTGCGTTACAGTAAACATACACGTTTTAAGACTGAGAGTACTCATAAGACTCAAGACATAACAATTACTAAATGATTGACAAGTGTAAAATCAGATCAATTAAAACTTAAATAGATAATTTAAAGAGCATTGTTCACGTGTTAAGTGTAATTTTAGGATTGAAGTCTGTGCAATTTTCCCACTGATATTTATGAAGAACTGTGTTGTGGGATGGAAACATTTCCAGACTTTGAGGAGAATATAAATATATGTTTTTCTTTTTGACACAATAATCTGAAAGACAAAGAAACGTAGCCTATAAGTAGTTTTTTCCTCAACTAAAACACGATGAAAAAACGTCTAAGGTCTAGCCGGGCTCACACATATTAGCCTTCCATGTTCTTTTCACTTTAACAAATTAACCTCTTACAGCAGTCGTTCGAAACCAATTTAACACAACATAGCCCAAATTACACTTTTTCAAGATAATATACCAGTTTTTTCTTCATATCTTAGTAATTGTTTTGCTCTTTACGGTTAGAGGTTAGCTAATCAAATACAACATTAAGTGACACTGTTGACGCACCTGTTGCTACTGTTCCCGCCTCGCGCTCTACAGGTGTCGCCTCGCGACGACTAGCACGAGCACGGTGAGGTGTATAGCAGTGTACAGAAAGCTCTTCAGGTGTCCTTTCCCAGTCACCTTAACCGTCTTTCTGCAACAGCTAATGCCGCTTTCAATCTCCCCGTCCGTCCAGCTTTTCTCCAGCTGGTCCCCGATCCTCCGCAGGCGAGAAGCCAATAGCTGAGCCACCGAGCACGGCGAGGGTAGGCGGGCATTGCAGGTGGTGTCACCGGGCTGGAGCAAAAGCTGGTCTATCGGCAGCCAGCACATCTTTCCCTGAAAGAACAACCAGTCTCTGTATACGTCTTGATAATATATGACCCTCCTTCTCTTCTCTCATCAAACCTTGACTGTGTTTGCGTCCCCCCCTTTCTCTCCCTTTCTCTCCCCATCTACTGTATTATTCATTACATTGTCACATGGTGTGGGGTTTACATCATCTTTTCCCAAAAGACAGATACAATGGTTAACTCTTGAATCTCTCCTGTCTGGTATGGTCCGATGAGTCTTTGTTGTAGGGTGCTCTGGGACATTGTGTTCTCTTTAGTATTTCTGTTTACTGTAAAATATGCAATTATTTTTGTTTTTTCACACATAACCAATAACATTAAATATATGTTTTTCACATTGAGAACAATTGCTTGTTGTGGCAAGAGAAAAACAAACACATATCTGCCATGAAAATGTTCGAGTCTATAATAAAACTGCGGAATAGAAAATAAGCGGAACTTATGAACAGCAGCGCGTTGTACCTCGTCGGACTGTTTATATAGAAGGACACGTGCTTGTTTTGCGCTTTGGTGTCGGTGCCGATATACCATTACAACTGGTCTATATAACTAAAACATACATACGATAACGATTTTAACCCTGCTAATTTATATTTGATCAACTATGATTAAGAAATATGGCCGAGGAAGAACTTGCTGTGTTCAGGGAGAGTTGGAAAGAAGAACTAACGAGTAAAAACGACGAGGAGCGACTTGTTTGTGCCCCTTCCTCGGATGTTCCTAGTCAGTCAGGTCAGGGAGACTTGAGAAAAAGGTATTTTGAAGACTCAAAATATCTCAACACAGCCGATAGTACTTCAAAGCTATCAGAAAGGGAATGCACTGATGATGCCTCAGATACAGAGTATCAGCCTGAGTATGTGTCCATTGCACGGAGTTTGCTGGATGGGAGGACCAGTCCCCTGCTGGACAGGATTCAGGAGGAGAGAACCAGGAGAAAGAGGCAGTATCAAAACATGACCAACGCCTGCAGCAAATCCCTGCAGCAAAAACAAAAGCAACAGCAGCAGCCTCAGAGAAAAGTCAAGAAAGAAGAAGAGCTTTTGGATCAACTTATTCAGGACCTGGTATGATGATGATGATGATGATGATGATGATGTTGGTTGACCAGAATCAAATCAGTATAACATGTTTGTTGTATTTCTTTCTTTTGCAGAATGAAGTCAACGACATTCCCTTCTTTGATATCGAGCTGCCGTATGAGTTAGCCCTGAAAATATTCCGAAATCTCAACTGTACTGAGCTGGGCCGATGTGCACAGGTAAGCTTCTGTGGTGGAGCTATTTCTGATAAAAGCTTTAATCATATAACAAAAGAAAAAAGACACCTGAAATCAATCGCTCTATTTTCACCTTATTTTGTTGAGGTTGATAAAAGTGGTGGATAAAAATAAATATTAAAGGTGGGGTAGGTAAGTTTGAGAAACCGGCTCGAGATACACTTTTTGTTATATTCCATGGAATGCTCTTAACATCCCGATAGCAATGAATATCTTAAGTGCTTTGACAACAAGTCCATAAAAAAATCATCTGTGGAAGCTGTAGTACTGTAAAAAGCACGACCAATCATTTTAGCCGGCCCGGCTAAAATAACTGGATGGCCTACCTGCCTGTCAGCCTTCCATCTGTGCACAAACTTATCTCGTGCCCTCATTGGTCATGTGAGCGTTCGTGTGTGTTGGAGGAGGGGCTCTGTAAGGAAGTGGCAGATTTTTTCCGGCTGTGTATTTTCAAATTCTAGCGCACTCGAGCTGGTTTCTCCAAAATTACCTACCCCATCTTTAACTAACCATTAAAGGCCGGCTTTAGACTAGGCCCCATTGAGGTATCGACATAACTCTAAGGGCTCATGGTGTGATAAAGACTATGGAGACATACAAAACAGAAAACAAATCCTATTTTCATTTAAAGACCCTTCTCATTAATAATAATTACAAAAATCACAACTCTGCTTCATTTTACTTTGAGGGTGGCGAAAACTAAAAAGGTTGGGAATCACAACTCGAGGCTAACTCTTTCAGAGTGTCAGTCTTGATTGGATGAAGGTATTGTTTAGTGTGATTTAGCTAAGGGTAACAAGCTGGGATGGCAGCCGTTTCTTTTTCTTTTTTTTAAGACACACCACAATGGCTTTAAGAGGAGCAAACATGTTAGTATTTCTTATTTTTGAGTCCCTCTGGTAACTTGTGTTTTCCATAAATATGTGTCCCCTGAAAGTTTCAGGAAAAAAGATTGTCTCTCTTTTTGTCCTGTCTGAAAATGAGCTGATAAGATTTTGGCCACTTTGTGATGTTAGCCAATATCCAACGAAGGTAGCACCCGCCCACCTTATCTCCTGAATCTCCTCCTAGAGGAACGTTATGTTTTTTTAACCACATTTCTCTCAGAGTGACGTGGCCAGCAGCAGCTCATTAGCATTTCAAGCTGCATACACAGAATCAGCACTTGTAATCTGCTTGAAGTGTTTGGCACGAAATACTGTTGTAGTATAATTTTAATGAACCTGTTTCATTTTAATTTGTTCTCAAATTGGTTACAGTATTTCCTATTATTAATTGTATTTTCTTTATACTTACATTTCAAACAACTAGGTTATTTAGAGTGGAGCAACTCTGATATTACCTTAGCCTGGGCGGACACACACTGCAATCAGAAACAACAAGTATCTGCAGTCTTAGAAAAAAGTCCTGCTTACCCTTGTTAGATGGCCACCTTTGCACTGAGTTTCAGCAGTCCCGTCCAGGCTTCAGGTTCTGTTCAGAGACCCATCACTCTCCTGGCTGGGCTCGCAAATAAATGTTGGAGGAATTCTCGATCTGGGCCAGTTGAAGATCCGGATCTCCTCAACACTATACCATCACATTCTAACAGGTTCAAAAGAAGTGGCTGGAGGCAGACAGAGTTCGATGCAATAGAAATGTTAGTTCGAGCAGACCCCAGGATCATACTGGCTAACCAAACATTGTTTTAGCATTTTATAGCTAAACCTTCTTGTTCCTATATTGGTTGACCTTGGTGAAAGATGACAAACCACCTCCCAGTTTCTTTGTCTGCAACTTTTTCAGCAGACATTTGCATTTATTTACACTTCCGCACACGTGCCCTGGAGGCGTTCCGTCACATTGACCGCTTCTTGACCTTCACCAAAGTTCACTATCAAGTGAGGGGAGTTTTACCACTGGTCTCTTTCCCAGTTGTAACCTCGTATCTCATTAGCTTCAGGCAATGTGAATAATAATTAACCTTAACCTAAAAGTGGGCTTTTCGTTCAACCTGACACGCACATATACATACACACACGCTCAGAGCGAGAGAGTGGGACCCGTATACAGACATGCGCACTAGCTTTAGCAGCAGAGACCACTACTCTTCTCCACATGAAGTTACACACTCATTCAGATGGAAACACTGTTCTGACGGTGTACACACCCTAACATTGCACTATATTATTATACTGTATTATACCAAGTATTATAGCACTATACTGAACACTCATCATTCCCCATTATGTTCTAATAATGAGCATTTCTTCAAGACAAGTTCTACTCCAACAATACCAGAGACATGTTTTGTATATATCTGAGGCCTATAATATATTGATGAAAAATCATGTATTAGGGAACCTTTAACTGTCACTTCTGCCAACATGCAGAATTGCTTATAGCAGCATTTTTACCTTATGTGCTGTTAATGTGACAAGATGAATACATTACATGTTGTGTTGTACAGCACGTCATGGTGCACAGAGCCAACTTGGCAGTCCACCGAGCTTGTTAAGCACAAATCAATTAAATGACGCATGCTGGTAATATATTCTGACTCATTCGCCATGGTTACACTGTCTCATCTCCTCCTAGGTGAGCAGGGCATGGAGAGTCCTTGCAGAGGACGGCGTTCTGTGGTTCAAGATGTGCAGAAGGGAGGGCTACCATCAGGAGGCCAGCGTGTCTGACTCCCCCTGCTGGAAGAGCACGCTGCGGGACTGCAGGAACTCGGCCAAGACTGTGCGCTCCAACTGGAAGGTGGGCTCGAGCTGCTCTGCTGCAGCCAATCAGAATCGCACAAACTCAACACTGGCACTGGCGTTTGTCTGGGGATATAAGGGCACAATTTAATGAACATCACCAGTAGAAAACATTTATATAATTACGTAAATATAAAATACATATTGGTATGTAAAGGTAAATAAAAGTAGTTTAAATATTTAATACTTTTTGGGCCTTATTTGGCCCTTATTGGACTGCACAGAGGCAGACAGGAAACATGAGGACAGAGGGTTATGACAAACCACAAACGGTCCTAGGGTCAGAGTCTAAACCAGGAACTTGCATGTCATGCACTTTAATATATAATAATAATAATAATACATGGGATTTTATAGTGCTTTTCCTAATGCTCAAAGACGCTTTACATAAAATCAGAACAGAAACAGTACAAAGAAAACAGTAGTCCTAATCCAAGTGCGGAGTATATTCAACAGAATATAAAGTAGATTTTAACATAATGGCAGTGACGGGAATGCTCTATTCTGATTTTAAATTGGAAGGACAAATAATTCAATTTTGATTGTTTCTCTATAGCTTTGTTAGAAATGAAATAAGGGCATTTGCTTGCAATTAATTATTGGCACTACAATTGCAACAGTGTTTTCAGCCTGGTTCTCTTTACTCTCTAGAATCGAGTGGGCTCCATCAGCCAGCTGCAGTTCGAGCTGGGCAAGGTGCTGTGTGACGTCAGCTCCTGTGACTCCTTCATCTTGGCTGGGTGAGATTCAAGGACTTAAGCATGATTCTGTAATCTGATGTGCATAAACATTAACTGCTCTCACACCTTGAATTCATCCTCCGATTTCTCTGTCACACAAATGCCTGTATAAATCTATAGGTTTATGAGTAAAGGTTTGATAAAAAATATGTCACACTTTAACATAATACTTGTATTATGTTGCACCGTTGGAGAAGCCTGTGACCTAAGATTTTCATTGACATATCTACACTGTAGCTATGTACAAATGACAATAAAAGCCTTGAATCTTTAAGTCTCGCTGACTGATGCAATGGTGACTGACAACCAAACCTTTGCATTAGGTTAATTGTTTTTGTTTAAAAGCTGTCAGATAACAGGTACACAGGATGTTTGATTGCCTTTTGGTTTATTTACAGAAACATTTAAAGTTACTTTTCAAGACACAATTTTAACTAATCTTCCAATTTGGCTCGGGTTGTAATGGCACAGTGAGATCATGGATTGCTATGATGCTTAACAGCTTTTATTGTTGGATACACTCACAATGCCCTAATGCATTGTGAGTGTACACATATAGGGCGACTGTGGCTGCTAGGAGTACGGTTTTTCAACCAGTCCGTGCAGTCAACATGTCGATGTATCCTTGGGCAAGATACTTAACCCTGAGTTGCTTCCGAAGGCCAACGGTGTGTGAGTTTGTGTGTGAATGTTAGCTTTCTAGAGCAAGTGGCACTCCTCTGTATGAATGAGGTGTGAAAGGGTGAATGATGACATGTAGTATATAAAGCTCTTTGAGGGGTCGTAAAGACTGGATAAAGCGCTATATAAGTACAGTCCATTTACCAGAAACAGACTTTGCACCATTCTGCATGCATGTATTCTTTCTGAGGTAAAAAAATCAATAATAGTCTCTTGAGCATAATAATATGTCGGTCATAAAGGGTCTCTCAACCCAAACTTTAACAAAGGGTTGGGATAACTTCATTGTTCTATGTTCAGGAGATTTTTTTCCAGAAGCCCTCCTTATCCCTAGAGGTCTCCTCTGTAAAAGAAAAAACACGCAAACACAAGACTGACACAAAAAGGAGATTGATCGCCGACAGAAGACTACATTAAATGGACCTTTACATTGATTGGAATAAAATATTTCTCTAGGTTTGAATAATGCTGTAAACATTTGTTTTTAGACATTTTGAAGCACTCATTGTAAGTTGCTTTGGAGAAAAGCTTCAGTAAATATAGTAATAATAATAGGTCATTTTAAGTATTATAATTTTAAATGAAAAAGATAGTCCATGTTTTTACCATCAAATCTTCCTTGTCATAACGTAAAATAAAGAATGACAAGTAAGGAAAGAGCAGCATTTTAACATCTTCACATTAACAAATATCAAATGATATAGGAGAAGGATTTAGAAACTTTATGTGATGATTCCAAGTGTTATTAACTTAAAGTTGTCCCCTTCACCCTCAGCAAAAATAAATTCCTGATGGAAGTCATTATTGATCATATTTAGTTAGTGCGAATGCTGTTACCACTATAGTTCTTCGAATCTTCTAATCAACCAATACTTTGGCTCTCAATAACTTCAGCATACTTTCAGCTACAGAAACCATTCAAATATCAAACTATTCAGCCTTTTCAGCAATCGATGGGAAACTTTCAACTTTTTCAAAATATTTCATACTTTTTGAAATATTCAGCTTTTTAAACTCTTTTTTTAACATGGAAGTCAATGGGAGGAACCTTCAAATCCTCTTTTACCTACACCTTGCGCCAAATGCTTCTCCTTCCACATACTTTCAGCTACAGACTTCATTCCAACTTTAAAATGATCACAAGACCTTCAGCTATTTTGTTTGATATCTTTTACACTTTTTGAGATATTTAACTTAGTTTGGAGCTTGGTAAAGAGGCTTTCTTCAGATTTTAACATGAGTGTGTATTGGGCAGCTTGTTAAGGCTTAGGCCCCGGCTCCACGAGGACAAATACGGCAAAACGCATCGGAGTAACGCAAACGCAACCGCAAAAAACCTTCCGACCACACGCAATATACACCGGATTGTATCAAGCTCCACGAGACGGCTCCGTTTACATCCAACCGCTGGAAAAGCTGCAGTACATATGCCGAACCTGTACGTGGCGCTGTAACTTCCTCCACAAAAGCAGCAACTTCCTCCACAAAAGCAGCGAAGAAGAATGGTTGTCATGGCTGCACTTCTGTTTATTCTCCGCGGTGGGGGCACATCCATGGGTGGGGGCCGAGGGAACCGCGTAGAGTTTTTCGCCGGTCAATGTGTGTTAAAGTTTAAATCTTCATGCTTCCTCATGCAGCAGCTGATCCAGTAAGTAAACCCGACAGTAAAAATAAACATATTTATAACTAGTTTAGGTAGTTTGAGAGGTAATTAAAATAGCTAAGGGTGGTGATCTGACTTGAAGTGTGTGTTTTGCTCTCGCTGCTTCACAGCCGGAGGAGCTGCGTGTCTCCGTCCTGTCAGATTAGACTTCACTCGCGTTTATGTTCATATCGAGATAAAGATAAATAATCTGAATTCAGTGTGCAGTGTACTTTTGCGGAGGTGAGCAGCAGAGGTGGGGAGAGGCGGGGCTATGAAACGCATGACCGTATAGGCGACCCCACGGCCCCGTTGGACCCCCCAGAGCGCTCCGTTCCCAGATCTATCCACCTTTGGACCCGTTGTCGTTTGCGGGGTCTGTTTCTACGTTTCCCTTACGGCGTCGTCGAGCTTAAAGGGCTATACGCATGAGAAATATGCGGATTCAACCCGTTTTCGTCCTCGTGGAGCCTACGCCTTAGAGTGCTTTGATCTCAAAACAGAGTGGAGGAGTGCTTGAAATTCGCCCCAAAATAAACCTGCCATAATTCCCAAACCCTACACTCCTGAGACATAATTTTTCATGAAAAACGGAAAACCTCTCCTAGGTTGGAAAAGAAAAAGAAAATTAAGAACAAATATTAAACAAAATGCCTCTTGAGGGCATGAAGAGACAAAAACTTGTCAAAAATTCCACCTAGCTCCCAATAGACTCCCATGTAAACAATTTCCGGATCTTTCTTCAGAACAGAGAGAAGTAAACTTTAAACAAACTGCTCCCATCTCCACATTTTACACAGAAAACCAAAAAAACAAACATATATCAGTTCATTGGGGTTCCCTGATGGTCACGGTCTGGTCATTTTTTTTATAGGAGCCATAGTTTTTGAACAGGTGGCAAAATTGTCAGATATAATCCTCAATGCATTCTTAATGGGACTCAGTTCTGCAGTTGGTAACTATGGTGTTGCTGGGCAGATTGAGGCCACAAACCTGAGTGACATCATCTAATCAGAGCAGACACGCCCACAGACAGACTGGTTCTCTCTCTCTCTCTCGCACGCACACACACACACACACTGAACGTCTCTACCACACACACACACAACTCAACCACACACACACACACACACACACACACACACACACACACACACACACACACACACACACACATACACATACACATACACACACACACAATTTTTAAACTATAGTTAAGAGGTTTATTTCTCCTTCAGATCAAATGGAAAGGCTCTCCTTTCACAGCATATCTCCATGGAAACCTTTGATCTCTGGGCTCACGTAAACAGGTGTTTTGATAACGTCGTCACCGTGGTAACCTTTGATCTCTGGGCTTACACACACAGGTGTTTGTAAACATGCATTCACTACTACTTACATTTCATATCTAACTCCTTCAGCCTACTTTCAGCTATAAACCATTCAACTATTACATTATTCAGCTATTTCAGGACATTGAGGCTATACATTTAGTTGTTTATACCTTTTTAAAATATTTTCTTTTAAATATTAAGCTTCTTCGCTATTTTTCCTACTCTTCCAGTTTAACATTTCACTTTCAAGTTTTCAACAAAGTCATTGCAATGCATTTGAGCTGTAACAATTTGATTCAAAGCATTTCACTTTTCTGCATTTCTCTGCTAAGTTCAGCAACACACTTACTTGGTTTTTGTAGCTAAAAGCAGCTACCATTCAGCTAATAACATATTCAGCTTTTTCTGCATTTTCAGCTAAATTCAGCCACAAATGTTCACAGTTTACAGCATTCGCACGCATGTTCTGCAGGAAATGCATTTTCTAGTTCAATTTATGATTCATTTTAAGGCTCATTTCGTACATTTCTGTATTGTTTATGATCCTTCAAATAGCAGTAGTTGGTTAAGTAAGAGTGTGTAAACTCTTGGTCTGAGAGAGTGATAGATTGTGAGGGCCCCCAGGAGCATGATGGTCTGCCCCCAGGAGCATGAGGGTCTGCCCGGAGGAGCTGTGCAGGGTCTCCACGGAGTCATGTGATTAGATTCCCCTCGGTCCTGCTGTGTCTCATCAGAGTACACGGTGTGTTTGTATCTTTTATGGTTTCACAACTTTAGCTCACTGTGTACCAAAACATTCTTGACACGAATTAAAGCACTTGAACCTACTCTTAAATCTGTCCTTTTGTACCTTTGCTATTAACAAATCTACAACATTTTCCCATTATCTGTACCCAAAGGGGGATTTATCTGAGTGAAAGAACTTCACTTTGTTTATACACATCAACAGCAGTTAAGATAAATCAAGAACGATTCAATTGCAGCTACAGCATCCATTTTTGATAGCGGTGGAACGAGATTTGACAATTAAAAGGCAACAGGAGAGACAGCCTCGTTAACCCAGCAACTCTGAGTCACTCACGGACACAAAGGCCAAATCTGCTGAGGTTCTGCACGTTGCTGTTAGATGTGCACAAAGTTTCCTCTACAAACAAAAGTTATAACAAATTACTTGAGAGGATTCATCATCCTGTTGATAGTCGGCGTTGATGCGATGCACCAATTAATTGAACAAGTGTAATCCCCTTGTTTATTTCCTGCCAAACACTGTGATGAGAGTCACACACACGCACACACACACACACACACACACATATATATGCCACTCTAGCTGTCACTGTGTCACACACTCTGGCTGCGAGGCGGATTCTTGCTCAGACATGATGGTATCTGTGGAGGTGGGAACGCTGGCAGTTTGTCGTCTCCTGCAGTGAGAACTCATTGACTTGGGCCAAGGGAAATAAAGTGAAAGAAGAGAAGCTTATTGAGTGTGAGGGAGCGGGCTTGTTTTTTCTTGATGAAGGGAGCATAAGGTCTAGAGCTTCTGTTTAACATACGGGGAAACTTTAATTTTATGCTGGAAGTATCTTCATTTATGCAAAGAAAGTCAAAATATAATATAATGCAGAAAGGCTCTCAGGCATTCTGTATTGCTTTCACATATTTATTATCCTATAAATTCTCATTTAAGAATTATGATTTAATGATCTGCTCCTACCTTCTGTTTTTTTTCGTTTCTTTGAAGTAACCTCTTGAATTGTGGCACAAAGATACTTACATTCATGTTAATTGATTTATAAACTCCACAAATTGAAGTTGTCCCAAGTATTTGTGGACAAAGAGACAGCAACAAAGAGGTCTCATAATATTATAATAATAAATATCCCTGAATGGTTTGGCATCTTCTATTGAACTCTACACTGCGAACTGCACGTTACCTGTGAGCATTTTAGAAATCTATCAGTTTCTTATGGTATTTATCATGCAAAAAAGCAGTCATTTGCTTTCTGAAGCTTCCCAGATCAAATATTTTAGTATAGAAAATGTTTGATGGTCTTTTTATACTGTTTTATAACAAGTAGGTGTACACATACAAGGAATTTGCATTTTAAAGACTATTGTAACACGTTTAAAATAAAGACCATATTTGTACAAAATACAAATATCCAAAAAGTAATAACTAATATAATAATACAATAAATAATAACATTTGATAAATACTTTATTCAAATTGGAGAGCTGTGCAGATTTAAAAAGATGTAGTTATTCTGCAATTATACAATTAAGACAGGAAGGGTAAATCAATAAGGAACATTTTGACAATTCTCAACTCTGGTCTTATCTGTTAACATAAGTAGTGCCAAGATATCAGAATTAATTTGATATCTTAATTAAAGATATCTCCAAAAACGACATAAGTGTAAACATATATAAAATGTTGATTTACAGTGAACTATGCTAAGATAACCTTCACTTCCTGCTTATCATCACCATCAGTAACAGTAGGCTAGATGTTCAGCATTGTTTCGCCCAAACAACACCCTTGTAATACTGGGAAGATCATGTAACAAAGATTTACAAAAAAAAACCCAACAACAACAAGTTGGAGTGAGTAAAGGAGGAAGGTGTGAGAGGGGGAATGATTCAGTGTTGAGAGGGTGACGTCAGGTATTCTTGAGAAGACAAACTTTTCAGCCTGTGAGGGAACAATGGGCGACAATTCTGCTTTAAAATCCATCTGCCTTTTTGTACGAAGCTAAATGAAATATGTTAGTGTGACTTGATGTGTTTGTTTGCACCTCAGGTACACATCTGGGGATGTGAGGCTGTGGGACACGCTGCACTGGGACTCCACCGCCTCCTTTCTGAAGATCAACAGCCTGTCAGCCAACTCTGTCCCCAGACCTCAGGTCAGCCACGTCCAGGTCAACAGCTCGGTGGCTGCTGCTGCGTATGAAGATGGTGAGTGTTAATGCTGGGGTACTCCGTTGGCACATCCTGGGGATGGTAAGACATCAGGTACAGAAATATATTTAGCATTTCCCCAAATAATTATTTTATTATTCCTTTTTTTAATTAGATGTTGCCTTATAGTGTAACACACAGGTTCCAAAACGTGTCCATCCCAAGGGCCCCCAAATAACAGTATATATCTTAAAGCCTTTGCCCAATGTTTGCAAGATCTCTTAAAAAACTAAAACATTAAAAAACTAAAACAAAGAAATTAATCTTCTGAATATTTGTTTTACTTATTTTAGCGCAATAATAATTACATTTGTATTTAAAATCTTAATTTTACCGGTCACACTTACAGCTTATTACTTGATGAATGATGTTTTGACTGGCAGCCGGAAATTATAAAGAGGGGCATGGCAAATAATATGTACAGATGTTATTATAAATAATCCAATTACATGTTGTATTATTTCTTTTTTTTGTTGCATTTTCCATCATCTTTCCTTCAATAAGTTAGGGCAAAGTTAAGAGGATGCTCACCTTGGAAATCACTGCTGTATTACACTCATCACTTTGTCCCATTGGCTAGCATTACGCTTCATTCTCTGTGTGAGGGTAACTCGCTGCAGTTATTAACATAGTAAGGGGTTGTGTTGGGTGTAGGCTGTGTGGACCTGTGGAGCACAGAGACAGGTGGAGAGCCCCTCCTCCACTACCAGAGCCCGGAGAGGCCCCAGGCCCTGGCCCTGGGCCCCGACAGCCCCAGCCTGGGCTCGGCTGCCGGGCCTCACGTCCGGCTGGACAGCGCCGACGACCGCGGCTACTGGAGGATGCTCTGCAGGGCGCAGCTCCCAAAGACTGTAAGCCAGTTTCATTCCTCAAATGTGTGAAATGCTGCGTACTGATGTGTTGTTGTGTTCATTAAATGGCTGTGGCTCACACATTTTCCTCCACTTTTAAATAAATAAATAAAAAGTACTAATGGGAGCATTTAACACCCTCGACTTGTTCCACATTTTGTAGCATCTCAGTTTCTGGCTCTACTAGTGCTCCAATGAATCAATGTCGATTGATCATCTTATTGATCAGGTTTCATAGCAGATTAGTTTAATAAGTTGTTAATCAAGCAAAAATGCAGAATGTATTATTTTCTAGGATATGGTTGTTAATTGACTATTGTTGGGTTTTAGACTGATGTTCTCACAAAACAAGAACATTTCACCTCGACATGTGGAACATCTTGATAGGCTTTCCTTTATGCTTATCTTTATTTCTCCTTTTAAACAAATCCTGTCTTTTAGAATTTTTGAAAACATGCTTTAGTTGCAGATTGTTGTGTTAAATGTGCAATGTAAAGCTTTATGAGAATACTTTTTTGATTTGTATAAATTGTTAGAGACAAAAAAAGAGGTACCGTAATAATATAATAATGACATTCATGCTACTGCACAAAAGCTTAAGTTGGAGAGTGAATCAGTTCTTCTTTCTGCTCTGAGTACATGTGTCTTGTCTGTACTGCAGGTAGAGAGCCTGGTCCTGGTGCCGGGCCGGGGGCAGCAGGGCCCGCTGGCTGCTCTCTCAGCAGGAGACGCTGTGTACCTGTTGGACCCTCGGGAGGAGAAGCCGCGGACCCTCCATTCAGTCTACGGTCACCCTGTTACCTGCCTCGATGCCTCCGACTCCCAGGTTGCACTGGGAGTGAAACGCACTGGCTGGGCCATGCACGACGGAGGAAACAAGGTGGGTTCAGTGTCCCTGCACAGCTTTTATTAAATCTAAGCACTAGTATTGGTGAAGGTAGTGTTGTGTCACTTAAATATCACTTTTTCACTTGCGTCAGTTTGGATTAACTGCCAATACGAGAGTATTGTGTATAAAAAGTGTTTAGCAATATTTATCGGGATACCTGAAGGCAACATGACTACGTAAGGCCCGTCACTCATGATTCCAAGCCCCACTCAGGTAAGGCCCGCCCCCCGTGCAACATCAGGGCCAAAAGTCTGAAAAAATAAGATTTGAAATTGAAAACGATCTGAACTAGAAAAAACTGATTTGAAACCGATTCACTTCTCTGAATCAAAAATGATATACAACCTGAAAAAACGTTTTAAATTCATATTTTAGTTTGAATACATTACTGTACTTTTTCAAAGTTCAGGGTCAAAACTTTCAAATACATTTAATTTTTTTCGAATGATCAAACCTTTAGCCCAGATTAAGCTCCATAGAACACTCGAAGTAGTCCATTGTATCAGCAATTTGTTTATGAAATGTTCTAGTGTTTGTTAATGGAATAGATGGAGCTGTATCAAGGCCTCTTCTGACAAACAAAGACAAACAAAGGAGGGAATGTTGACGGAGGAGATGGCAAAACCTCAAAACTCTGCAGCTAGATTTTTAGATGCATTGTAAAAAATAGTATAAAAAATGTCCCAGTCCTTACTAATTGAGATGAAAGGTTTCCAAAAGCTTTTACAAAGGTGCTTCCAACAGGTGCATGATAAAAAACCTGGAACATTTGCCAAGGCAAACAATGAAGTGTGCTCAAATGGAATGATGCCTCTTTTCTTTCAGGAATACAATTCATGGAGAGGAGAGCAGTGAGGACATGGGTTTTGGCATCAGGGAATAATTGGTTCAACCTTTGGCTAATAACTAAATATTTGTAGTCAGGTCCACACCTTTATCTGATTCAACATTGTAGTTGCATTGCTAACAAACACTTCTTGTGTCAATCTTAGCAGAATCTCTTGAAAGTGCGATCACTATTACACCGTGTCCCCTCAGACCCATTGGCTCCCCTCAGAAATGAAAGCCACGTACCTGCAGGGGATTTGTTTCGCGATCCTAAATAGCGACATGCTCTCTTTGGGCTCTGCCTCCTAATTACTACAGCCTTTAAGGGCACTTTGATAAACTTTGGTTCCCTAAGCTGCATCTGTTTGCTTCTAAAAATATTACGTTACTAAGGACCCTGTGCACCTAATTGACTCTTGAGCCTTTACTTAGGGAGCACAAAGAGCCACGAGACAAACCGTTCTTTTGGGATCAGGAGGCAGCTATGCAGCAGTCATTATGCTTTACAAAGCTTACTTCATCAAGATATTTTTCTGTCAATGTTAATGGATGGAACAAAGAATAAATAAAGGAGTTTCTCATTTCAAAAGCAGATGTTAGCTGCAGTAAGGACCTGCAGAGTGGATGCTTTAAAACAGCCAGTAGCACCCGAGCACACTGTGTGTGTGCAGCAATCTGTTTGTTTCTGGCACAGCTTCACCACTGACATCATCCCCTATTAGAAAAGGCACAGCCATACTTGGATTCAGTGAAAGCTCTAAAGCACCACACAGTGGACCAAGAGAGAGTAGCAGTGAGGGGAAACAACAGCCTCACCTCATCATGACACAAACAAAGCCACATTGGGTGATGTAGAGGCAAACATCTTTCAAGGGATGAATATATGAATTATATTTTATCCTCTATTATGGTACTAGGCAGAAACTAGTAGACATTATGTGTTTGAGCTTCAGTTACATAGTGGTTTGCTTTATTTAATTGAGAGCTGAAATGATTAGTGGATTCATTGATAACCTGATAAAAACAAAAATAATTGGCAACTATTTTTGATCATTGATTAATTTAATTGAATGTTATATGAGTATATATCATATACATATACATATATATGCCTGCATTTCTCAGTTTTATAGCTTTTTAAACGGTATATTTTTAGGTTTTGGTTGGACACAACAAGACATTTTGGAGACGTCACCTTGGAACATTTTTAATGTAATAATAATCTTTTTTTTGCCAATTATTAGAAAAATAATCTGAGGCTCTATGGGTAATGAAAACAGTCATTAGTTTGCTCACTAACTACAATTTGATCCCAAGTATGGAAGTATAATCCCATAGTTGTAGTTGTCTGTTTTTGCAAAAGTAACTTGATTCGACCTGAGTTTATAAATGCAGCTAATCTCAGATTTTCTACAAAATGAAGTCATTATTTTTATCTCCAGCATTTATTTTTCTTTCCTAGCATACTAAGCATTTTAGGTTTGATTTGTTTCATTTTACGCCCAGAAACACAACACTTTTCTGTTTCTATAGTGATCTTAGCCCAAACTCCTCTCACGTGATTAGCATAACTCTCTTGCTAATTAAAATATTTCACAAATGTAATGAACCTGTCTGACACTATCGTAACGCTTGTAACTGCAAATTCATACTGTGAAGGAGAGAAAGCATGAATTGGCAACAACCGTTAGTGATGCCAGACCTTTCTGAAGCTGCTTTTGAAAACATATGCTTCATTAAAATCTGTCAATATGCTTCATTAAAATCTACCAAAATGGAAGCCAAGAAAGTCATCTCACACTTTTTCCTGTCTCTCAGAAGACTGATATGTATTAATTTACAATATTCTGATGAACTCAACTTCATTGTCATATTTTTGTTAACTTTATTGAGCATCAGTGGTGAATTTGTTGAAGTCTTGTTTCAAAATCTGACATCTTATCTCTCTGTCGATATAGAAGATTCTTCATTATACTTTGGCATGTTTTTGGCTTTGTCTCCGAGCCTTCACCATCTTTATTGGTGTAGTGGGTTTGGCTGTGTGTGTGTGTCTGGTTGGAGCCAGTCTCCAGGTCCTCATTACTGCTCACAACCTTCCTGCCAGTGGAGCAGTGGCTCCCAGGCAGACACCCAGCTTGTGCCTGGGCTTTCAACAGAAGCTGGCAAACTATCCATCCACTGCAGTGGATCGACCACAGAGCACGAGTGCTGTCAGAAAATCTGTCATCCTTTCATTGCATCAGTTCAGACGGCTGGTAAATGAATGGGATGGTAAAAGTATTGTGAGAGATCAGCATCAAGACATCCGTCCATCAGGATCATTTAGTCAGTAAAAACCCAGACCGGCTGATTCCTGGGTTAAAACATAGCTTTAATAGTAAATTGTATTAATAAAACTCACATGGAAGTGAATACTATGTGATTATATAGACTGTTGCAAACATGGTCTGTACTGTCTGTATATAAGAAGTAGTAGATATGGTCAATTCACGATCCAATCGGTTTGAGGACTACGGTTTTAAATCATCTGGCATTTTGATTCATTGTTGCCGAAAAAAAGTCAAAATCAAAACTTTCATGAAATGATAACACGGACAACAACCGAACCGGACAACGCCATGGTAGAGACCTGTCAATCCCAAGGTAGCCCTTAACTATACTTTGCTTTATTGTTGATTTTACTCTATATGGGAACATAATGAACATTATGTCATATAGAATAACTCATGTTTACTGAGGTAATAAATCAAGTGATAAGTAGGGTCATTTTTTCATAAACTTCTATACAATTAGACTAACTGCTATGCTAGGCTGGGAAATGCCACTTCACTGAATCTGCCTTGCACACCTACATGCAAACACACAGCATACACACTCCTACGCAATATAAACGCACCCTCACTAGAATGCAGCACTCTCTGACTTATCCTTCAGAACGGTTATCTTGGATAATGACACTAGAATGACTTAATAAATTACTTTTTAAATGTATCCATCTAGCCTTTTTGTTGATAGCTTGGACAACAGCAAACAGCTTCTACCCATAAAAACTACCAATGAACCAAGCAGCACAACTAAATCAAGATTTGCGTTTTTACTCTGCTTGTTCCTTCCCCAAAATCACTCTACTTTTTCTGGGGATGGATCAAAGTCAACTGTAAGCAGTTTGCTCTGCAGCTGTGAAAATACACACAACAATACAACTGCTGTATACTTTGAGCAAGTTGGAGACACTAATCTGTTGGGAAAAACACCCATCCCACATGACATCAAAGTCATTCCCTGCATCTGGTCCAATGTGCTAATCTCTGTTTGTCCACATGGTGTCAAAACCAAATGTAGCTCTGAAGCCATATTTGTTTCAGATGTGTGTGTTTGTATGACATGGATGGGGAATCATGGGCCATGTTAAGTCAACAGTCTGCAGATTTCATTCAAGCCGTTTAGCTCAGCTGGTTATTTTACTCATAAGTTTCTCTTTATACTTCATGAATCATTAGTGAAGTCTCCTGCTGGTGCATCTTTGTCTGGAGTGAAAACATTACGTTTTAAAGCAATTGGCCTTCCATTGCCCATGGTTCCCATTAGGGGGAGGGGAAATAATCCAAACAGCATGGCATCACACTGTTTTGCGGTGCAATATAGTATCAATACACGCACAACGACCAATCGTTTATTATTGATCGAGTATTTATATCTCAAATAAAACTTCTTGTTGTTGATTTTCTTCATCATTAGGTTGGATGGCCAGGAGTTGATCAGAACTAAAATTGAGACATCCGAGTAAGAAATCTTAAATGCGCTAAGAACGTCATCTTATTGGATAAAACAGATGTGGACAAACTGCATCATTTTCATTGAAGAAAGGTAATACATAGCAATAATACTAAGTAGTATGATGTAATCGTATTGCGGGGCCATCAATATTCATGGGGTATAAGGGTACATTTAAAATTGAACCCAAAACCAAACCAAATTCTGCTTCAAATGTGTTCAACAATGCAGGCAACAGAGCCACAAAAGCTTTTCTCAAAACCGCAACAATGATTGCCTCATCTTTAATCTCTTTTAAAGCAAAGAGAGTAATCACATTAACGTTCCAATACAAGCCACCATTAGAGTTCCTTTGTCTGCAAGCCTCACCGGGTTTCCAGAAAGTGCATTAACCTAACAACTCCTCTCCAGTCTGTCACCATTATTCTTCTGCCGCAGTCTCACCACAGCCCCCCCATAATCACACAGCGGCTCCTTTGCTTCCCTCAGTGCCATTCTTCATTTTAGTGGGCGAGGTGGGCAGATATCTAATACAAATATCTTCCCTAAATTGTAATAATTTGTTATGAACAGCAGGCTGAGTCTCATTTCTGCGTCTCCCTCCCTCATTCTGCCCTTCCGCTGTCCAAATCCTATCAAGCTGTCATTTGAAAGTCCGGTGTGATTTGGGCTTTGCCCCGGGGTGGTGCACAATTAAAGCTCTGCTTGGCCCAAATAAGGGACGCACAGAAACTGCTGGCACCTCCTCAAGGCGTACAACATCCCGTCTTCCTTCAAACTTCTCTCTCTTTGTCGCTGTCTCTCCATCTCACTCTGTATTTGTGTCTACCTTCTGGCTCTTTTTCTCCCCCTCCCCCTCCCCCCTTCCAATTTAATGTCTTAATCGTTTTAATTATTCAAAGTTTTGCCTGGCGGTTATCCTGTTTGTTCTGTCTCATTTGGATGAGAAAACACCAGCCGCTAATTGACCAATTAGGCCGGCTCCAGATGACATCATTGTAGTTTGTAGAAAGAAAGTTTGTTGCAGCCACAGAGCCTCAGGCGGTGGTGTGCTTCTTGGTCAGTAATTGAAGAATGCCCTTAGGTTTAGTTTGATGTTGTAATCACCAGATTTAACAATTAACTACGGGTTTGTTTTAATTAACTGGCAAAGCATCACTTCAGTAAGCTGTGTTTGTCCTCTGTACGGAATATGATAATGTCCATTCTCAGTGTGTAGAGTTCAATTGTGCAGCGTATTGAATTGGCAGGTAGGAAAGAAAACCTGATAACATTTTTAAGTGCACACCAAACGTTGTCCATTGCTTTAATTTAAACAAAGGTAATACTCTGCACCACTGCCATGCTTTGAAATATTTGTTGACTTGTGTGCAACATTGTATTATACAGACTTTTTTTTTTTTTTTTTAATGAGTTAACACACCACCTTTCTTTTCTTTTTTTTTTTGACAAACACACTTCTTCAGATCTCAGATCCTGAGTCAAACATGAAAGGATTATTTCCGTTTTTCAGTTGTTTTGTACATGCCATAAGATTGTATTGTAATATCTGGCCTCACTCCTCATTGTTGTGTAGTTAATGTTATTATATTCATTGTACCATTGTTTTATGATATTCCTTTATTATTGTGTTTTTATGATATTCCTGTTACAGCATTGTTTATATCAAAACAACATGAACCCCTCCCACAGCCTACCCCACGCTCAAACACCCTTACATTCCTTTCTTAATATAGTCATATCTCCTGTTCCAGTTTCTTATCAATTCATCTCATATTTTTAAAGTTCCAAGATGTGAACACCCTCCAAAGCGTACAGTCGACTCTGTAAACACATACGCAGGATGTCATTCTCACGTAAACATTTGGTGTTAGTGCATCAGTAGGTTAAATGGACGTTATACATTTGAAAGGGTTGATGTGTTTCCCTGCTTCTCAGATCCACGTCTACAGCCTAGAGACGGGTAAACCTGTGTCTTCTGTGGGCGACTCGCTGGGAGACTTCACGTGCATCAACCTGAGAGACAGCCCTCCTCACCTGCTGGTGTGTGGAAACAAAGACAGGAGGTAGGATACTTTCACATAAATGGTGAAATAGGAAAATATATCCCAATACTGACACCCTGCGATTAATTCAAACATGAAAAGGTGTTGAAACTGAGCCAGGGACTTAAGCAGAAAGACATGTCTGTTCATTAGTTTTCCCACAGTGGCACCTGGTGAAGGAGACGGGGAAGAGGAGGATTCAGTGGAGAACAGGTGTTAATAAAGAGTGTGAGAAGACGAGGCTCTTTTCAATTAGTGCATTAGTCGCACTTCACAGACTCTTTGTTGCCTTGAAAAACAAGTTTAAAAAAACCAAGAACGAGGCATTGACATATGTAAATGTGAGGTGTTTTTTTCTTTGTGTTGAATACAATGTGTGTCTCCTTCATTATCTATTATACTATACACGGAAAATATCTGTCCGTCTTGATCCCATCCAGCAACAACACACACATCCATGCGTGTACACACACTTGCCACATCGCTAACCTGGCTCTCCAGATGAGGAAAGACTCATAAAAGAGGCATTCTCATCTATTCTGCACTTGTTAGCGGGTGCTGCGGTGCATGAGCTGGCAGGAAAAGAAACATCCCTGGCACGTCTTGGCCCAAAGCTGCCCCTGCTGCTTCTATTCAGCACCAAATCCATCTGGCTGTTAAGTAGTTGGCTGAAAGTGAAAGACAGCCCGCATCATATTGTTTAGATTTCTGTCCAGCCCATTTTTCTTCCTAGGTATGACTCCTAGCAACTGAACTGAACCACGCTAAGTAAAAACAAATTCAATATGAACGTGCCAAAAGGAAATATTCAGCTTTGTTTTGATTCAAACATTTGTTTATCTTCATGCCAGAGCATTGTTTGAGTCTTTATCCGATTCCTTTTTTGCATCACTTTCGGTCTTTGCCTTTTGATAGATGTGTACTTTCGTTCTTGGCTCTTTCACCTTGGCCCCAGCCGATACAGCCCGCAGTCGAAGACAAATGAGGGGGACTGAGGGACAATGGGCGATCTTGGACCTCTGACAGGGTGGCTTAAGGCCAAAGCCTAATGCATCCCTTCTTTGTGTCCAAATTAGTTTGGTCCCTCTGTTCTTTGCGAGATCCAGGGAGCAAATGAGGAGTCCTGATAAGACCGTTTAGAAAAAGGCTGCATCTGTGCAAAGGGAAAGATGATGGCTAAGAGCAAAATTGGATAGTAAGAGGGAAAGGGCAGACATGGTGAAGGCTTACCTGTGGCTATTGAACACTTATCATTATACTGGGCTTCTTGAGTCCAGTTTTAGGACCACTTGAAGTCTTGGATGTAACTTGGCTTTTTCCTGCCAATTTAACATAGATTATTGCCAATTTAAAAACTGATCTTTTGTTACAATACATTAGTCAGATGGCTCCAGGGATAGCAATGTTGATCTGTTGGTCAAAACAATGGGACGTTAACATTTTTTAGACTCTTTTTGTAATCGGTGGATCGGTCTTACTGACTGGTGATCATCTCAGACGTGACGCATTTCAACTTTTACATCCACTTGGCACAAAATACTGATCCTTTCAGTTCCTGATGACTTTGATGGTCCTCTGACTTTTCCTCTATCATCACCATGAAGCAACAACTCTAGAGTGGATCACCTTTACGTTTGGTACAGAGATTTGCTTCCCTTAGAATGAATATAAATAAAGCTTTACTTACTTACTTAATTGTCCTGTTCATCTAGCTAATGACATTCCCATCAGCCTCAGCTTCCCTTAGAAACTGTTAGCAAACATTAGCATACTATAATGCTACACAAGAGGGTGGACATGGTTAACATTATTGCAGCTAAGAAACAAGACGGTAAAACTGCCATTGTGAGGATGTTGTGAGGGAGTACAGGCCAACAAACTGAAAGCAAATCATTAAAAGTAGTTTTGTTGTTGTATAATATGCTTTTCAAATTTCTCTCTAGCAGTATTTTTGATGGTAAAGGGTTGAGAAGACCGTCCTCACCTTAGTCAGCCCATGACAAAGTCTTGAAGAACCAAGTGAGAACAATATCAATCAATCAAAAACTTTATTACAGACTCAGGGTCCAGATAAAAGACAAGACATTACATATAATACATTACATATAATAAATTACATACACGGCATAACAAAAAAATGCATATATTAAATACATTTTGCCTCCTCATTTTTGAAGCGATCATCTTCTGTTCTTGAAATAGAGAAGAATACAAGTGTTTTGTTTATCAAGCCTCCCGATCTTTAAAGTAAAGTAATTGGGAACACGAGTATCTTAAACTTGCATTGTTTCAAAAAGCCAGCAGGGGGCAAGAAGGAGTCCTAATGTGTAGAAGTTAATGAAAAAATGAACCAACTTATCACATGATTCTTTATCCTCAGTAACCATTTTGTATGTTCTCAACAACTCATTGAATTTGATAAATGGTCCACTTTAGAGAGAAATACACCATAAAGCAGCAAATGCTTTAGGGAGTGGCTACATGTGATAGACAGGTTGTTACAATGTTGTTGTCCAGTTTTTGTGTTTCTTTGTTTTTTGTCTTAGTAATTAGACTCTATCGTTATTGGGTTTCTGTTTCTGAAAGTTAAATAAAGTAGTTTTGTCTGATAAAAATGTCTTGTTCATCATTTGATGGTACTTAACTTCATCCTCTGTGTCACTTCTGATTGACTTGAAATGATCGAGAAACAACTAAGTCGGCAGAATAGAAAACGGTACCAAAGCCTGTCAAAACACTTAATGTGCACTACGACTGCCAAATCGTGTTAGAATATGGAAGGTATGCATTCGTACGGAATACCAACAAGACCACCTCGGGTGACAAACCACAGGGCTGCGTCAAACGTAGTCCTCAGTGAATAATGATTAATGTGTCGTCCAGTGGTGGGAAACTAACTGGAGATATCTGAGCCTCTCAGCACTCCTCTGATTAGACACAGCTCCTCCTGATTAATGAAGAGGGGTCTGGGCACCGACGTCTCACTGAAGACAGCCTCCAACATCAGAGTTATGGTTCCCTGCTGTCTGCCAGTAACGCTCAGTCCTCATTGTTTAAACGTGTGCTTCCATCACGTAATGCCACTGAACAGGAAACACTAACTGCAGACAACAGGACCGCGGTGCCCATTTAGACATTTAACGCTGATTCTTGAAAACATTTGTGGAAGCGGAAATTAAATCTGTTAGAGTCCCCAAAGTGAATTTGATTATGGCAATGAAGACCTGGAAGAAGCTCGAGCTGGATGGAGTCATGTCCTGGACGCTCTCAGCTGCAATAAAGCCACAATGACAACAGATGGAGCCGGAGCTCCCATGGGCTTCTGATGCTTGTGAAACCCAGCAAGCTAAATGATCAGCCTATTTAAAATAATGAATAGTAATACAAATACTTTTACTTTAATAATAATCATGATTTAATAAAAGAGGGTATAACACCTTTCTCAAAGCAGAACTTACAATATCTGAATATTGATTTGAGTAAATAAATGGCACATGCAATTCAAAAGCAAAAATACAGAGAAAATGAAGACGAATTTAATAAGTAAGGAATTCATTAAACAAATATATAGTAATGCTAAGAGCTGGGTGAAGTAACATCAATTTCATGTTTTCTGTCTACACTTTCTGTTACTCTTTTTTATTACAAGTTTATTGTTTTTATGCCATATCCAGTGAATGAGGTAAATCCTTTCTGGAGACAGACAGCAGGAGATGAAATATTGTGATATTTGGTTTAAGGAACAACAGCTTGTATTGCCACTTCTGCTTCGGTTTGTATTTGTCTTTGCTCTCTTGGCTGAATGTTGAAAAGTTCCTTCAAAAGTGTGAATAGTGTCCCTTTGTCTGTAAATGAATGCTTTCTTTGACACACTGCACTCGTTCTCTTCTGCGGTCTTGGAGCTTTCCCACTGTGTGCATGAAATGAGATACAAAATAACAACGCTTGGAAATGGAAATGACTGATACCATTGTACTCACTTCACTTGTATCCCTTTTTATCTGTTTCATCCTTACAGTGTTAGAGAAATTCCAAAATAAAAGGGAGGCCATTTTAGACTGGTGTTTCATTACTTGATTAACTTTAAAGCAACCTTTGACCCATCACAAATAATCTTTCTCAATTGGCATCGCAATGACATGGCAAAAATAAGCGTTTGTTCTTTTTCACTGTGTTTCAGGGTGAGGGTGTTTGACCTGCGATCCGGCTCCTCTGTGGCGTCCCTGTACGGCCACCACCTGGGTGTCACCTCCGTTCAAATTGACGACTGGAAGATCGTGAGCGGCGGAGGCGAGGGATTGGTGTGTGTGTGGGAGATGAGGATGGGATCCAAGCTGTGGGAGATGCACAACAGGTGGGATAATCTTTCCTCTGAGCCACAGGGAGGGGAACTCTGCTACAATGATGTGAAGTTAAACAGTCTTCAAAGGTGTCACATGTCTTTTTCCAACCAAGCTTTTCTGTTTGTTTCGTACACATCACAGTTATGGTGTGTGCCTTTTTGAGATTAGAGGTACCCATTTAACTGAGTCATTGGTCCGGTTTGTTTTCTTTTCGTTGATATTGTTCTTTACTGCAAGTGCCACAAATAACAAGAATTGCAAATTATCCCTAATATTTAAAGAGGCCCAATTATGCTTTTTAGGGTTTTCCCTTCCCTGTAGTGTGCTATTTAGGTCTTGGTGCATGTAAATGGTCTATAAAGGCTAAAATCCCAAAGTTGTCTCCCACACACTCTCCTGAAATGCCTCCATTGGATTTCATTGTTTACTTCCGTAACATAGTGAAATAACTACATAACATTACAGCTTCTATTGGCTAGCGCTACAACACATTGTACAGTACATGCTAGCTAAGAGGCGGGACATCTCTAAGCAGTTGACCAATCAATACAGAGCCAGCCAGCTAACCAATCAGAGCAGACTGGGCTCTGGTTTACACAGGCAGTATGAGAGAAGACCTTTTTGAGCATTAAAGTATGTAAACATGTCCCATTAGAGGTACAAAATGCTAAAATGAACCTGAACATTAGCATCATAGGGCCCCTTTAAGATGCATGTAGGCTTTTATTTTGAAACCAAATATAGTACCACATCTACATGGCACTTATCTAGGAAAAAATGAAGATTATGCAGCCTTTTGTAGGGGATACAATACAAATGTGTACACAAATTAAAATAATGTTAAACATTATTTGACTGAAGGTGTTGTTCTCTGTCTTTGCTGCAGGCATCCTGTCAGGCATGTTAACTTCAACAGCAGCACCCTGGTAACCGCCAACATCCCCGATGACAAGTCGCCGAGGGGAGCCTGCATCACAGATGATGACCTTACAGCTCACCGCAGGTCACTGAGCCCCTTCCCACTTTTCTTCTTCTTTTAAGGATCTCTTCTCGACATCCAACTCCCATTCCCCACAATACACTTACAGAGTCTCTAAGTCATACAAAATCAGTAAACCGACTGATTCTGTTTTTTAAAAGCAAATTCAACCTTGGCAATACGCTTTTTGGCTTTGCTGCAGAGAGAAGATTGATATCCATGTCACTTTATTCTCCAAAATATTGAGCTATGCCTTTTTAAAAGGCAAAATATAGTGTGTATTTACAAAACAATTATTACTGTTCCGTATAATTACAAATGGGATAGTGTTAAAAAAGGCTCTTTAATACTTGTTTTTATTTTATGCTTTCTCAAAATGTAATTGGGAACTCATCCCTCCGACAACCTGCTGCTCTCAGCTGCATGTTTTATTAATGCCCACAGAGCAGCATGTAGTCATAGTCTTAGTTTAGATCATGGTGAGAATATGTTGAGATGATTTCCTATTTGTGCCTCACATTTAGCCAACGTTTGTTAGTCTATTTAAAAATATCTGGCATTAACTTTCTTGTAACTTGGATTTTTTAATTTCTCTTGTTGTATTCAAACCTCCTATTTTTCTTTAACTGTAACATAAAATAATTTGTGTTCAATAGAAAAAGAAAATACAATATATAAACTGGAGATTTCCTCACCCCCAATTGTACATTTATTAAGAATTCCTCTGCTCCTTAGTGATTTATAATATTGTCCCAATCTATTAGTTTTTCTTAATTGTAAGTACTTTAAAGAGTTCGTTGGGAAAGAAAAAATATCTTGTTAAATGTTCTACTCAATTCTAACTTGTATGGCATACAAGTTACCTGCACAAGCTCTAATGTCCTTCTCAAACATCCACTTTTAACAACTTTGGAAGAACAAAATGAATATCTCTGTTGTTGAACATATTAATGTTTTTATCCTTCAGACACAGAGGAGTCATCTGCCATTACGACTTCTCGGAGGACGCGCTGTCCCAGGATCACATCCTGCCCATCTGCAGGTCCGACTACATCGAGTCCTCCGGGTACAACTACAACATCGGGCTGACTGTGCCCTACGACAGGCTGCCGGGCGCCCACCCCTCCCTCTGACAGCAGCTTATCAAACTGCAGCAGGACTGACGGACAGACTTTATAAACCTTTGATCAGTTTGATTCTCCAAACTGTATTTTTTTTTATTTTATTACATTTTAATCGTCATAGTGGAATCAAGCTTCTTGGAAAAGTACCATGTAATGTACACTGTCTGTTTTGTTGGTATTTTTAATTAACAATGTGGATTGCAAACACTGTACAATAATTTCTTTAAGTGATATTTAGATCTCTGTATTTGATCAGTGCTGCTGGGCAACATCAGAGGAATAAAATGTCCTATTTTTACCTGATTTTCTAAATAAGATTCCTATACATTTGTACAAGTTTCTCTTAAAAGAATCACATGCATTTTGGTTTCTTACATTTATTTTGTTCATTAATACATTTCAGTTCATTAAAACAGTTGTATTGAATCATAGCAGGGAAAGTGTTAAATATCCTTCTAGCTGTCAAACATGGAGGTTTTTTAAGGCAGAGATCAGTGGTTGGTTACACAGTCTGAGAGGAATAGAAAAAGGAGACCTGTTCTGGAGCTGTGGAGGAATGCTGTGCGGTCCCACTCTTTGGATGAGAGCCATAACAGATGACCCATTGATGCCAGATCAAGACTATCTAACATGTGAACTTCTTGACTAAAGTACACAGAATCCTTCACATTACATGCTGGTTATATTAGGCAGAGGTTGTTTGATAGTATAATAACCTGACAAAATGAACACATCTTTTTAAAATATATGACACTTCCAAAGATCACAGAGCTTTCAAACTGAAATAACCTAAAAAGGCTTAAAAGTTAAGGATAAATGTATTTCGACTTGATTATTTTAACCATGTTGTCAGTCTTTATTAATCATATAAAAATGTACTAGTAGTATGGTTTTTGGTTTATAACTACATCCCTCCATTTGAAAATATGTTAGTGCACATCAATTTTTTTGGTTCATTCGATTTAAGGACTTGAGAGGCCCTGCTAAAAACAGCAGCAATATAACTTTCTTTACAAGAACAACTTCAAGACTGGGATTTCCCACAACGCATTGTTGATGTGTCCACATCCAAAAAGCGAATGTGCATCCTGGACTCCATTTCAAGCCCTTTTAAAATCTGTGGGGAGATAACAAAATGATGTCAAGTAAGTGACAAAAACTGACTTTTTATATTAGGTGGACCATACGTTTAAAAAAGATGCAAACCTCTTCAAAATGCTCAAATGTTATTCCTTCATAGAACTCCTCTGGGCCCTAAAATCATGAAGAGGAAAATAATGTGTTATTTTGCTGCAGATACATATGACTGTATTGCTACAGTTTCATTGTGGTCAGTTCCCTCACCATGTTGGGCACATTTATGCTTGCCACTTCCAACATGGCAGCGTCTGCTATGGCCTTGGCCGTTTCCTGCCCGATTTCTCCACTCTTCGACAGTAGCTCCTCTACTACCTTGAAGGAGAAAGAAAACGTTGTTAGTCTTTAAACCTCATGAAGAAACATCAGGGGTTGACACTTCCAAATGTCAGTTTTTGTCAAACTATACTCTAACAAATCCCAAAATATGATATTATGACAGTCTTTTCCACATACTGCACTTTGACTTTTCTTGGCATTTTATTTCTGATGTTTTTTACATACTAAACTATGATTTTACACTGATAATATCTTCATACTACTCTGACATTTCTTTCCTGGAATCACTATACCGTGATTTATTTTCTGACATGTTTTACATACTATTCTTTGTCTTTTTTTTAGGCATGCTATACTATTCTATACTTTGACTTCTTTCTGATATATGTTATGAATTTGTTTTTTGACATACTAAACAACAACATTTTACTGATATGTTCGTAATACTCCACGATCACTTTTTTATTTATTCAACACACGACATACTTTACTATACATTTTTGACATTCTATACTATGACCTTTTCTTTCCAACATACTATACTATGACATTTTCGATCATATTTTCGACATAACATTCTATGACCTTATTTTCCACATAGTATACTATTACTTTTTTCCCGACATGCTAAACTATTACTTTTTTTCGACATACTATACTATGATGTTTTAACTGATGTACCTGATGCAAACCATACTTTACAACATATTAAACCAGTGTTTCTCAAAGTGGGGGGCGCCCCCCCTGTGGGGTGCAGAGGCATGACCAAGAGGAAAAATGGTTTTGAAAAAAAAATCATAATTTGAAAAATTATTGATTCGAAAATAATATGATACAGTACAGTACAAGTACGTCTGGGTCTCTGTGTTTCATTCAAGCTCGGCTCTGTGTGTGTGTGGAACGAGCCATTTTGTGTGCGTGCGCGCGAGAGAGAGAGCGCACCGGTACCGGAGATCGTTGTTGTTAGCTTCTGGTGCTAGCGAGCTAGTGGCCGGGTCTCAAATGGTTTGGTCACGATTAATGTAAACAATTATTTCCGAGGCACACGTTTATGATCATTATAGTTATAAAAAAAATAAGAGAATAAATGAAAAACAGGTATGAAATACTATATGACATTAAAAAAAGAATAAAGTTCAAAAGGGGAGTGATTTGTAAAATATCCATAAAGAAATAGTAAATCTGTTTACAGTTCTGTTTCATATGGGTGCTGAGAGATGTATCCATAGATCTCTTCATGTTGCTCTCAAAGTGCACCAGATTGATGCATTTAACTTCAATATTAAAAAAAAGTCTTCCCGGGGGAGCTTGCCCCCGGACCCCCCTATGCACACACCACCTATAAAAATAGCACTTTACCTCTGCTTACACCTATATGCCGTGAGCTGATTATCGAGCCTTCATTGTAACAGTCGCTGATATATGATATGTATTTGCGTGGGAATTGTTACAGTAGAAAATTCCACTGTAGCGCCCGGTACATTAATGGGAAACCCTAAATGTTTGAGCACCCTCTATGAAACGTCAAGCTACCCCACAGCACCCCCAAAATAAATCTCTGGCGCCGCCACTGAGCCTGCAACCCCGTTTTGAAGAAATGTGCAGTGCAAAACAGGCTCATTGCAGCCACCTGTGATAAGACACACTTTTTTGCCAAATATCAGCATTTTCTTTCTTTTCATTTTTTTGCACAGATTGCAAAGTGGCAAAGTATTATAACTTATTGTTCTAGCAAAGGGATTGCACAATTGTATTATGTATTTTTTTTTTTGAGCACACAGACTTATGGAGCATTGTTTTATTATCACTGTTCTAGCAAAGGGATTTTTTTTTTTTTTTTTAAAGGAATGCTCACGTTCATATTGATGTATTTTAATAAATGTTAACTTACTAACCACATTTTTCTCCAAAGGGGGGGCCTGACAGAAATGGATTGAGAACCACTGTATTAAACTATGACCTTTTTTTTTGGCATGTTATACTGACTTTTTTTCTTACTAAACTTTTGCTTTTTTTTGGCATACTATACTTTGACTTCTTTGCGATATAGAATACTATGAATTTGCATTTTGACATACTAAAAAATAAACATTTTATTTAATTAATTCTTCATATTTTCAACCCACAACATACTACTATGACTTTTTTCTGATATTTTTTACATACTATACTTATATCTTTCATCAATTTACTATATGACGTTTCATCTGAACACATTAATGTTTGTCCAATACGCCATTGCAATTTTCATTTAAAAATATATATAAATATGTAAAAATTATGTAAAAGTTTGTGTAATAGAGTAAGAAGACACACAAACGTGCCAGCTTCTGTGTGAGGGATACTGTACGCAAAAAAGTTATTTTACTTTTTTTTACCTTCCTGTACTCCGCCAAAGTGATGGTGCCATCGTTGTCTGAGTCATGCATGTTGAACAGAACTGCGAAGAAAGAAGGGGAAACTTTAGAGGTTAGTCTGATTACTGAGCAAACATTTCTGTCATCAAGTTAAAGAAGCAAGGATCTTACAAATTAAATCAGAGGAAGCTGTGATTAGAGGAATGTTGAAGATGCAGTGATGAGAGTATAATAAGCAGGTCCCCTTCAGGACGCATCATAACAACCACACTTAGGCTAAAAATGCCATTTAAAATGTGACTACTTTCATTTACAGTGACATTTACAAGATCCAGGCCCATGATGATAATTCATGATTAACAGTCCTGTGACACAAACAAGAAAAAAATGCCAACTTGTTTCATCGAGCAATGAGTATTTTGTCTGTGATACCCAAGTTATTTCTGAACAGTTGACAGAATGTCAGTTTTTATGTAATTTTGCTCCTCTTTCCATTTCACAATGTCCTTTCAAAGGTATTCAATTAACACTGTGACTCCAGGGAAAGATTTGTTGATGCATGTCCCAAAGGAAATCAAACATCAATCGAACATGATCGGCAAAATAATAATAGAGATAAACGTTTCTTTATGAAGCCAAGAAGGAGGCTATGTTCAGTCTTCAGATACAGGAGACACTGTATAGTCTGTTAATTATCTCCTCAATCAAAACCCTTGCGATGTTGAATTTTAAAACTATGTTTTTTTGTTCTTAAAAATCTCCTTGTCTGCAGCAAGACCCCCTTATATAATAACACAGGAATACAAATATACTAGAGTTTATTTTCTTATACCCCGCACTGCTCTTCTGTTATTATCTTAAATCTTCCATGTATTCTACAGGAAGCTGTACATCCCTTGGTTTCTTTCCTGGCACTTAGTTTCTTGAGCAGTAAAAGCAACACAGATTGAGCTGTTGACAAGGAAATACTAAAGTACACAGTGGCAGTGTAAGTAAAATAAGTGTTCATATCTTTCACTTAGGTAAAAGTTGCAATACTACAAGTCGTATTTAAGTACATTTACTTGAGTACCACCTACTGTTTTAGAGTCTTGTCTACTTCAATCAAATTGTAACAACATTGAATTGAGCTTTCAATTGTCTTGGTTGCTGGCCAAATCAGTGCAGTCACAACAAGTTTCAGTGATCCAAAACATAAACAACAAATTGCATTTTTTGTGACAGTCCATTAGAACCAGACAGTAAAGGACTTTATTACAACTGAAATGTAATGTCATGAAAATAAAAAAATAAAAAAATAAAGCAAAACCAGAATCCAATCCACCTACAGATCATTTGAACTCGGAGAGAATGCCTTAGCTACAATAAGAGACACACCCCAGGTTGGAAGCATTTGTTACGTAGCAGTTATTGCATGACCAGATTTACCTGCTTTGACGCCCCAAGGCATGAATTGGCACTAAACCCCATAATCTGTGCCTCCTGCCACCTGCACATAGCACCTTCAACTCTGCACCTTTTATAT